TTCTGCTCCCATGTATATCTGCACACCAGAAGAGGGCACCAGATCTTATTACGGATGTTTGTGAGCCACCATATGGTTGCTGGGAATTGAACCCAGGACCTCTGGAAGAACAGCAAGTGCTCTTAATCTCTGAGCCATCTCTCCAGCCTCCCAGAATCTTTTATAGAAATAATGTGGAAGGTAGGGACAAATTATTTCTGTTGTTGTTTTTAATTATGTATATGTATCCAGGTCTGTGCGAGGGTATGCTCACATAAGTGCTAGAGTCCATGAAGGTCAGAGGTTTCAGATCTGAGTTATAGGTGAGTTCCCTGATGTGAGTATTTGGATTGAACTGGAGTTCTCTCAAGAGCATCAAGTGCTGTGTACCACTGAGCCATCTCTCCATCTCCTGGTGCTGTTTTTACCAGTGGTAGGACAAGCTCTAAGTCAGTACCTTCCCAAACAAGTTTTGATGGCAATCCTTAGAACCAAGTATTTTACGTACATATCAACTGTACAGATAACTTGTTCATTCTCTCTCTCTCTCTCTCTCTCTCTCTCTCTCTCTCTCTCTCCAAACAAAAATTTGGCCTACAATTCGCTACAAAAGGCCTTCTGGCTTTATAGCCCAAAAATGGGTCAAAACTGTTTCTAATCCCTAGTCTACCCACATCCCCAGCCTGTATGTGTATGTCATAATTAAAAGGTTGTTAACAACTTTCCGGAGAAGCCCACACCCATCTCTTGCCTTAGGCCTATACCAGTGGCCTTCCCTTGCATATTTCTCACCCTCCACAACCACTCCTTTCTTCACTAAACAGACCACAACTCTGTCTGGGGGAAAATAAGCTTAACTTTGAAAACCATCAATACCACCTGGGATTTGTCTTTGGGCCACAGATGCTGAGAAGAAACTGAGGGGAAGAAATATAATCAGATTTACAACACACAAATGAATAAACACAATAGCACAACACAGAAACTTTTAAGAACTCACTCTCCCACAAGGCATGGGTGTAAAAACCTACTTTGGTCCTCCACATTCTACAGCCGAAGCTTTCACGAATCGAATGGGCTGTAGCCCCACCGGCTCGATGCTTAGAGTGTTGTTCTCCACGGCCTCCAGAACAGCTGAAGCCAACTTAAAACAAAAAAACAGCAAAAGAATTAAATCAGACTAGCAGGGAAAATCAAGTAAGATAATAAGCTAATTTTATAAGCTGGTCTTCCTTCAATGTCACAAACTTGGCCTTAGGTAATGCAAACAGAGGGGAGAAAAAGCTCAAATCACATCTCAATTTCGTTCATAATTCAAGCAGTTATGATAAGCAACTAGGTTACAGTGGAAGAATTTTTTATATTAACTGGAAGAGGATTAAAAGTATTAACTCCATTCTCAACCCATTCCTTACTCAAGATTAAACATCCACTACAAAAGCCACTTCAAAATTAACATCCTAATGCTACATCCTGCTAAATTTATGCAATAAATACTAGTAATTTATATTAGCAATATGTACCAATTTTAGCTATGTATTTTCTCAACTTGTATTTATAGGCATTAACATTTACAAAAAAGTAACATTCCCCCTTCCCCAGAATCAAATACAAAGTCTCCTCTGATAAACAGGCAGTTCCTCCTGGTGAGGTTACCAGCACCGAGTGCATGGTCCTCAATGCCCACACCCAGCCAGTGCTGTGTCCATCTGCAGTTCTGATTTTATAAGCTTGTAGCATCTGCAAGGACGCTACAGCTCAATCCCCAAAAGGCTTCCCTTAGATTCTTAGGACTGAAGTCCTTACATTAGCTGATAGGTTCTTTGAGACAAACTTCTCACAGGTAAGATCAAATAGAAATGATGACTGTACAGCTGTGTATGATTTATACAATACCCGATCCGCTGAAATATTTTTTTTAATCTGCCTACTTCATTCTTCTGCTTAATCCTGAGACAAAGGCCAAGTTAGCATTGTTTTTCCTGTTTGATTTATAAACACACTTAGTGTTCTGCTTTAGGTTCTGTTTTGGCAGTGGTGGAGATCAACTTGGGGCCCTGCAGAGGCTAGTCTATCACTTCAGAGCTACACCCCAGCTCCTCACACATGTATCGTGTGGCGATGAGCCCAGCAACTGCCTGTAATGGAGTAGGTACAGGACTTGGCTTACACTGAAAACTGAAGCTGGGAATGTGAAACAAGCAGCAAGCCCTCCTCCCGCACACATCTCCATGTCACACTAACACATACACCTCCGCACACATCTCCACCTCACACTATTACATACACATCTCAGGGTTGATGACCCTCGGCTAAAGAGAGGAAAATGGTCAGAATGGCAGTAACCATATGGTCCTAAAATGAAATGCAGAAAATGTTACACATGCCATTTTTACAGCAATTTATGACACGTAAGACACTAAAATATGTAACACGACAGTACAAAGTGCAAAAGATCTGGAACGAACTTCTATTAAAATGAAAAATAATTACCTCACTTTTTGCGAATGTTAAACATGGAAAGATATCTTCCTGATAGATTTTGTCTAAGAAAGGACATGTTCTATCCATTGTAGGCTCATCCTTCCAAGATCTGAATTCATTATACAGAGATAAATCGGCCTAACAAACAGCAAACACAAAGCAACTTTAGAAAGAACAAATATGAACCATTTAATAAACCAAGCTCTAATTTACACATCATTAAAAGGAAATGTCCTTCATTTCAAATAATAAAAATTCAACTGTCCTGTAATACATGATAACAATTTTTCTTTTAAAAAGAATGATTAACTGAGTCTCTGGGTATGTCCCCTATGATGTTCAAAGATGTTGCCATCATCTGCATCTCATGGGTCTCCAAATACTGTGGCTACTCTTTCCTCATCGGAGACAGGGCCTCACTACATACCCTAGCTCTCTGGGAATCACTATGTCAGCAGGCTGGCCTTGAGTAGGCTCCTGCCTCTATGCCCAGCAAGACCGTCCTGAATATAAAAGGCACTAATGATCAGTCTTTTCTGAAAATTATCAATCTGGAGCCAAGGTGATTATCACTTTAAAGTGAAAAACTCAAGTCCATCCTGTGAAATTGAGTGTGGGATGACAGTCCTACAAGGATGGCTAACACATCCATTAGAACACGAAACAGGGCAGTGAGCAGCAGCATGCTCACAGTCACTACACTGACCACACCACCACCCTAAATTAGCAGTAATGAGCCCTCCTCATTCCCCTCTCCTTGTACTCAGTCTGACCTAAGCCCTCTTCTCTATGGGCCCTCAGATTCCCCTCAGGCTACCTAGCCCACCCCAGGGCACCTGTTGATACAAAGCAGAGGTGCCCCAGCACAGAGCTCCTTGCCACACTATGAACAAACACTCACTGGCCTGGGATAACCCAACCAGAGGTGCAGCGCCCATCAAAGACACGAAAGGCTGTCTCCTACAGGCTTTAAAGATCAGTAATGGCAAGCTCTTTGCACTTATTTTTCATTCCAATTCATAAATGTATTGAGTCAATGCTAAAGGCAAGAGGATAAAGTACATTAAGAGATAAATATTTAAGATTTTCAAATTCACTTGTGAAGTTAATCGAGAAAATGGAAATAAGCCCCGAAGCAGGAGTGTGAATGATAATCAAACAAAAGATTGCTTAAAGGTAACAACTGGAACCATTTCCTAACATCTGACTCTTTTAGGAACCATGGCTCCTTAAGCACTTTCTAAACACTTAATCCTCTGAATTGTGCAAGTTAGAGATGATGATCCCAGTTTATAGATAAGGCAAGGACTTATAGAGATTAACAGCTTCCCAAAGTCACACAGTTGTGCCGGCTGGTTTTCATGTCAACCTGAGACAAACTAGTCACCTGAAAGGAAACTGCAATTGAGAAAAAGCCTCCACAAGATAAAGCTGTAGACAAGCGAACCCAAAGGGCATTTTCTTAATTAGTGATTGATGGAGGAGAGCCCAGCCCAGAAACCTGGTCCTGGGTTCAATAGGAAAATAGATTGAGCAAGCCAGGGGAAGCAAGCCAGTAAGCAGCACCCCTGCTTGGCCTCCGAGTCAGCTCCTTCCTGCTAAGGATCCTGCTCTGCTTAGTTCTGAACCTAGCTTCCTTTAGATAATGAAAGATGTAACGGAAGCGTAAGCAAAATAAGTCCTTCTGGTCAAAGTGTTTCACGAAGCGATAGTAAGCCTGACTAAAACATAGTTAAGTCCAAATTCAACAGGACATTTTAGACCCCAAAACCCTGCACACATGTGAGTTAAAGCTTTCAGAACTCCACTTCTATGACTGAGAGTCCCACCATGCTTTCTAGAGAAACAGACACATCCTACTTCATCTGATTGCTGTAAACGGTCCAAGAATAGTGGTTCTCAACCTTCCTAACACTGCAACCTTTAATACAGTTCCTTATGTTGTACTGACCCCCAACCATAAAATTACTTTCATTGCTACTTCATAACTATAATTTTGCTACTGCTATGAATCGTAATGTTAATATTTGTGTTTTCTGATGGTCTTAGGCAATCCCTGTGATAGGGTCATTCAACCCCATAGGGGTCGTGACCCACAGGTCGTGACCCATAGGGCATAGTTCAGTAAAATCTTGATTTCTTTTGTGTAATAAAACTTCCTGATGCTGGGCAGTGGTGGCACACGCCTTTAATCCCAGCACTAGGGAGGCAGAGGCAGGAGGATCTCTGTGAGTTCGAGACCAGCCTGGTCTATAAGACCTAGTTCCAGGACAGCCTCCAAAGCCACAGAGAAAACCTGTCTTAAAAAAAATTCCTGATATTTCCACAAAGTGCCAGGATATAAAGTGTACCCAGAAATCAAAAGTGGGTATGCGCAACCTATTCATATGCATTTCAAAACTAGAAAAGCTTTTAAAATGGAGAGAAACCATCCACACAGTTTTACTGTAAGCAACAGGAGAAAAAATCATCGCACTTGCTAAGTGAAAACTACAATAAAAGCTAAAATTTTTTAAAAGTACACTTATTTAAAGTCAAAGAAGAAATCAAAACTAAAGCAAATAAAGAAGTGTGTTAGATACTTAACAGAAACAAATACGGATTTCAGATTTTGCTACATTCAGAATTGGACAAGAACTAAACTTTTCTGGTTACCATATTACTAACAGCTAGACAGAGGTAACTCAATTACAACAGTTTACCTTGGTAATTCAATTAGCAATCCCTGGCTTCTATACACAAATTAGTGAATAAGATCAACCACTTCTCAAACATGAGGTAGCTTAAACCCCACGATGAGTGCAGCTTTTAAGAGAGCCAGCGACACTGCCAGAATTCCTGATCAATCCTCTTAGAAACAGTTTAATAACAATTTAATTTTTACTCTACACATTTCAAAATATACAGTATCTAAGTTATCTTTATGTTTTCTAAAATGTAAAGCTTCTATTATTTCTGGGTTCTCTTTGTTTTCTTGATTGTTTGATCAACCCTAGGGCTTTGGGATTGATGATTCTGCTTCTCAGATTTCAAATAAAAGCTAATAATAATCTTTAAGAAAATCATCTTATTTTTGAAGCATCTCTTATACTCCTATTTTAATACTGCACTAACAGAACATCCCGTCTAGTGAGGACATTGAGGCCACCCACTTTCCTTTATACAACACATGCCAGTTTGCTCCCTTAGTGAAAATTTGAAATGCAGAAACTCACCAGGACTGCAGAGGAACTCCGAGGCCAGCCAGTAGAGAACAGGAGGAAAGGATCCCTGAAAGCAGCCAGCTCTAGACAAAGCCTCCCCCATCTTAATATTGCATATTTTGTACTAAAAAAAATTTTGTGGCAAAAAAAAAAAAAAGATCACGACTGACACCTCCGTGACAGAAATGAACAACAGTCAGAGGGGCCAGCCCTTTCCAGTTACCTCTTTGCAGTCTTTTACAAGTGGCTGTATCACATTGAGGTCCTGGTGGCTGCCACAAATGGCACTGCTGGTACTTTTATTCCTTGTATGCCCCCTTTTAAAAGGTGTCTTTCCAGCTGCCAGAGGCTCCTGTGTCGGTGATGTTGGAGAGCTGGACAACACGAGTGTCTTCAATGCGGCCACTTCAGCCTGAAGTACGTCAATCTTGAAAAGAAATCAGCACCGTCACACACACAACACACTCTATGACAGATGTGGCCGAGCATTAGCAATTTGGTCAAAACACTTTCAAGGACAGAAATTTAATTTGTATTTTCTGTGGAGTAATGAAAGGAAAGGAATCCAAGTTTTGGGGTTTCCAGATGGCTTGGATTCAACTGCCAGTAATGTCGAAAGAAAAAATTTAAAATGGTCAAAAATACCTAACAATAATGTGACTTCTCAAAATCACTAGATATATTAGCTTACAATTAGCTGTAGTTCACGCCTAAAAATAAAATCTATTTAAGTGTCCTTCTTTTTAGTGAATTAAGAAAATAAGTAATAACTTTTTGATGTGACTATTGAATCCTTTTATGTGATTTACAAGGTTTTAAGTAAGTTTGGCTGGTATATAAATGCACCACAGTGCCCAGTGTCAATGGCAACGATATGCGCCTATTTTCTCGCTCATGGTTTTTGTGGCTTCCAAATGTAAAGTAAGCACTGCTTCTCCAATCAGAACAGCCCCGTATGGCTGCCAAGGCACCCTTGAGACAGTGATGACTGATGACTTCCTACTCCATAATTGAAGCCATGAGACTTACTTTCCCTTGAGCCTCCTTCAGCTGCTTTTCCGCCGTGGCCTGCTTGACATTTGCTTCTCTCACCATCTTGTGAGCTTCCTGGAAAAGGCAACATCTCAAATTTTGTACGCTAAGTATTTTAGCATTCATTTTCAAATCACATTTCAGCAGCTACCTATGACAAGACATCCTGCAGAGTACTACCCTGGAACTAAGTATTCAATGTCCTCTATTGGAAAGCAGTTGACATTAAAAAGACAAGAGGGAAGAAGTGAGGACCAGACACCCTCCACATAGCATCTATCAGCCACTGTGGCAGCCAGGGTAGATCCAACCAATTCAACAAACTCCTGTGTCAGGACTGTGGCTGTTAAATGAACAGAGAAAGACAGCAGGGCAAAACCAGCTAACAAGGTGCAACTAGGTATCTGTCACTCGATCATGATACATATACCCATTTTGTTAGTCGCAGAAAAAATATAAGAAAGGGGCAAGTAAAAACTGTTAACACCTCAACAGGAGCGACAACTGAGGAGTTCCAGTTTCTAATAAAATGATATGCATGAAAACTGTATTGTACGGGGCGACCCAGAAAGGGAAATCTGAGTATACCCGTTAGTGACCTTAACTTTCTAATGAAACTGACATAAAGCTGTAGGAAACTGGAGGTATGTGCCTGCCTTTTAGTCACAAATATTTACTCATGACATCTCTTTATGCTGCTCCAGGTTGACAATGAATGAGGAAAAGAGACAAAGGCCCTGCTCCTAAAGAGCACATGCTCAGGGAACATTCTAATGATGACAAAATCCAGATAATAGTCCCAGACTTTATTCTAAGTGAAAGATGAAGTCTTTTTTTTTTTTAAGGAAGAGAATAACATGATCTTGTATTTTAAAGATTATGCTTTTGCAAAAAATAATCTTGAGATTAAAATGGATCCAAACAACATGGGATTTAAGAGTTCATATTTCAGAACTCTTAATATATCCAAAGGAGATTAAAAGATATTTAATAAACACAGCCTGAGAACTGCCAAGTGGCAGGGTGGAACTCTCCCTTGGAGTGTGCCACGGCACTCACAGTTGCTCATTTGTTCTTATGGTATGGGACTGGATGGGCAGCAGCTTATATGTCTCATGAACACGAATCTCAGACGACATTAAATAATGGAATGATCACTATCAGTGATTTATAATGAAATGAGATGAACCATAGATATACTTCATGCACCATTACACAGCTTATCTGGCAAAGTCCTTAAGAACTGTCAGATGTAGCGAGCTCTGCATCTCCCTTTGGAAAACAACAGTTGTTGCAGATTTGCTGAATTTTTCTGGGGTAAGGAGGGGTTGTCAAAAGAAGACTATCTGACAGATATTTCCAAAATAATGGACCTATCTACTCTGACCTTTCCTAATTTAACTCTAAATGCAGAAGACACTAATGCCAAGCAGAGTACCTGCTGAATTGCCAGGCGATGGACTCTTAATGTCAACTATGCAATTTGAATCAAACGTCTTAGAAGACAATTGGGAGAGTTGACACCTCTAAAACGTATCTTTGAAAGCATCAGAGAGATAAGGAAACCATGAAGAACTGGAACCAAGGCCAGGAGAAAACACAAAGTGAGATGTGAGGTGACCTTTCCAGTTGCAAGAGGGACACTGTTAAAGATACACAGGTGTAACTCATGTCCCCAAAGAGGAGGATGCTGGCCTACAGCAAACCATCTGAAAAGCTAAAGCATATGGCACAAGTCTGCCAATCAACAAAATGTCAGATGTTTGGGTTGTTTTACTGTCTTCCTGAAGGTGAGATGATGTAAGCACTGTATACCAGGACTTTCCAAATTTTCTCTACTTGAGATGTCAGGCTGGTCATTTTACAACAGTGAGAACACCACTCTAGTACAAGATGGCAGAAGTATGTTTAGGACCATTTCAGAAACTGCTAGAAACTATTTTTTAAATACATAACTTTCATTAAAAATGTCTTCTCTGACAATTTAACGCATGTATGTAATGCATTCTAGCTACATTCACCCAACCTGTCCTCTCTCCCTCCTACCTGTCAACCTTCCCTTTTACAAGTCCCTTCTCACATTCATGTCTTTGCACTCTGACTTTTGACTCTGTGTGTCATTTTGTGACCACGTTTTGAACTAACCATTGGGTCCTGATGGGCTGACTGTATACAAGAGGTACACAGGTAAAGACAATGACTGCATCTTGTCAGAACCCACCGGGGCCCACAGTTCATCAGGATGAAATATGGTCCCATGAGCCCCTCTCAGTCTATAGCTTAACTGGTGACAGGTCTACTGTGTGCAGGTCCAGTGAAGGCGGGGTAGGTGCTGTGGACACAGTATTTTTGCAGCCCTCCTCCATATCTTCTGGCTCTTACATTTTTTTCTAACGTCTCTTTTTTTTGGGGGGGGGGATTTCTTTTCTATTTACTCTTTGTTTTGTTTTTACATCCCTATCAAAGTTTCCACTTCCTCCTGTCTTTGTAACTTATCCTCTCCTGACCCCACCACCACCATTTCTCTTCAGACACAGGAAGCCCTCTCACAGAAATCAGCCAGCCATGGTATATCAAGTTGCCGTAGAACTAGGCATCTCCTCTTCTATTAAGGCTGGACAAGGTAATCTGGTAGGAAGAAAAGTGTCCCAAAAGCAAGCAACACAGTCACTGACAGTCCCTGCTCCCACTTAGGAGTCTCACAAAAAGACCACACTATACAACTATAACATAATGCAGAAGGGCTGGTTCCGTCCCATGCAGGCTCCCTGTTTGTTGGTTCAGTCTCTGTGGGCCCCTATGAGCCCAGGTTACTTGGTTCTGTGGGTTTTCTTGTGACACCCTTGACCAAAGTGGGTCATAAAATCCTTCCTCCTTCTTCTGCAACATTCCCAGAGCTCCACCTAATGTCTGCTGCGGGTCTCTGTATCTGTTTCCATCACCAACTCCTCATTTTTATGTTTTTTTTTCTTTTAAATAAAACTCAAGCTAACACTTTAAACAGCAATTTTCCTTTTTAAAAATTCTTTGTTATATTTATTAATTTATCAGAGAATAACTTGCAGAAATTAGCTCTCTATTTCCACCATATGGGTCCCAGGGATGGAACTCAGATCAGGCTCAGCCACAGGGGTCCTTACTTGCTGAGCTACCTTGCTGGCCCTACAAACAGCAATTTCTAAAAATCAAACTTTCTAACAATACAATCCAAACACACACTAGTTGGATACAGAAATCCTGGGGAATGATATGAAAGAACATATTTTAAAATTTTGTTTTCTGTAACTAAGCCTGTATGTTTCTACAGGAGCAGAAAACCATATACAGTATAAACACTGCAACTCCTAACAAATTACAGCCCTGAACCTGAACTGAGGCACTTCAGGCAACTCACTGGTGGTGGAATGGACAATGCAGAAGGAACATATTGCATGTTCAGAACCAAGGCTGTGGTGTGGCCCTATGATGTGACACGTGTGAGCACGGCAAACACCTCAGGTCCATTATGTGCTTGGTTTCGAGTTACTTTCTGGTCAGTGTACACACACCTTCTCCTGTTGTCCTGCTTTTTTGCAACCTCCACATTCGGTTACACAGCCCCAGTTTAAGGAGCTATGATAAATACTAGGAGTCATCAAACTTCTATAAGGGGCCAAATGGCATGTGGAATTTAGGACAACATACAGTTTCTGTTATAATGATTCAACTTTGTTTTTGCAGTGTGGAAGCAACCAGAGGTAATACATAAATGAACTGCCTGTCTCAATAAAAATTTAGCAACAGTAAAAACTGTACTTTCTATTAAAAAACAAAAAGATACCTCATCTTGCCCCCATTTTTTTTTTTTTTTTTTTGGTGGTGGGAGCACTTAAGATCTACCTTTCAGCAAACTTCCAACACCCTGCCATCATCTAACAAATATCTTCATTTCTCCCATTCCTCAACCCTGGTAACCACAAGGAACTACTCAAGTACTTCAGAACCTACGTGAAAGGGAGTTCATGTACCACTGTCCTTTTACACAAAATCATCTATATTGCCTCAAATGCTAAGATTTTTCTTTAATTTTTATAATAAGAGTGCGTGCGTGCGTGCGTGCGTGCGTGCGTGCGTGCGTGCGTGCGTGCGTGTGTGTGTATTAGAGGACAACCTTCAGGAGTGGCACTCTCTTTCCACCACAGGAGATTGAACTCTGGTCATTAGCTCACACAGCAAACACCTTCACCCACAGAGCCCTATCAACCTGATTTCCTTTTTTAAAAAGGGACATATTATATAAACACACAGTATGCTTCTGCTTTATTCACATCTGGCTTCTGATAATACAACAATGAACATGAGAATACAAACACCAAAAATTAATTTTATTTCCTTTGATGTATATTGAAAAGTGAGATTGGTTGATCCCAGTTTCAAATTTTTTTTGGGGGGGGGGTCTGATTATTTTTGGTGGTTTTTTATTGCTGCTGTTTTAAGACAAGGTCTCACTATGCAGGCCTGGCTGTCATGGAACTCACTATGCAGACCAGGCTAACCTCAAATTCAGCAATCTGTCTGTCTCTGTCTCCTGAATGCTGGGATTAAAGGTGTGTACCAACACCACCCAGCTCTATTTTTAATCTTTTAAGAAGAAATATCCTTATTTTTGCCCATAATAACTATACCAACAGTACCACATCCTTGCCAACACGTGCACTGTTATATGATAAGCATGTGGTAACATCTCACTGGGGTTTTGATTTGCAATTGCCTGACTGGTGATGCTGAACATTTTTGCATGTATCTTCTGCTTGCACATCTCTTTAGAGAAAAGTCCATTCAGTGCTTAATCTATTTTTTATTGTACTGCTCTTTTTGATATTCCTTATATATGTTGAAATTACCCCCTTGTTAGACACTTTGCAAATGTTTTTCCAACCACTCCACTGCATTTTAATTTTGGTGATGGGTGTGTACAGGTTTTAGTTAGATGCAATTCCACTCATCCATTTTTGTTGTTTTTCTGAGCTTTTGGAACCTCATACAGGACTCTCTGACTTCACACAGGACTCTCTGACTTCACACAGGACTCTCTGACTTCACACAGAACTCTGTGACTTCATACAGGAGTCTGTGACTTCATACAGGAGTCTGTGACTTCACATAGGACTATGACTTCACATAGGACTCTGTGACTTCACATAGGACTCTGTGACTTCACACAGGACTCTGACACATTACACAGCACTCTGTGACTTGACACAGGACTCTGTGACTTCACGCAGGACTGTGACTTCACGCAGGACTGTGACTTCACGCAGGACTCTGTGACTTCACGCAGGACTCTGTGACTTCACACAGGACTCTGACTTCACGCAGGACTCTGTGACATCACGCAGGACTCTGTGACATCACACAGGACTCTGTGACATCACACAGGACTCTGTGACTTCACGCAGGACTCTGTGACATCACGCAGGACTCTGTGACATCACGCAGGAGTCTGTAACTTCACGCAGGACTCTGTGACTTCACGCAGGACTCTGTGACTTCACGCAGGACTCTGACTTCACGCAGGACTCTGTGACTTCACGCAGGACTCTGACTTCACGCAGGACTCTGTGACTTCACGCAGGACTCTGACTTCACGCAGGACTCTGTGACTTCACGCAGGACTCTGACTTCACGCAGGACTCTGTGACTTCACGCAGGACTCTGTGACTTCACGCAGGACTCTGACATCACGCAGGACTCTGACATCACGCAGGAGTCTGTGACATCACGCAGGAGTCTGTAACTTCACGCAGGAGTCTGTGACTTCACACAGGACTCTGTGACTTCACGCAGGACTCTGACATCACGCAGGACTCTGACATCACGCAGGAGTCTGTGACATCACGCAGGAGTCTGTAACTTCACGCAGGAGTCTGTGACTTCACACAGGACTCTGTGCCTTCACACAGGACTCTGACTTCACACAGGACTCTGTGACATCACGCAGGACTCTACTTCACACAGGACTCTGTGACATCACGCAGGACTCTGACTTCACACAGGACTCTGTGACATCACGTAGGACTCTGTGACATCACGCAGGACTCTGTGACTTCACACAGGACTCTGTGACATCACGCAGGACTCTGTGACTTCACACAGGACTCTCTGACTTCACACAGGACTCTGACACATCACACAGGACTCTGTGACTTCACACAGCACTCTGTGACTTCACACAGGAGTCTATGACTTCACACAGGACTCTGTACTTCACACAGGACTCTGTACTTCACACAGGACTCTGACTTCACACAGGACTCTGTGACATCACACAGGACTCTGTGACATCACACAGGACTCTGTGACATCACACAGGACTCTGTGACATCACACAGGACTCTGTGACATCACACAGGACTCTGTGACATCACACAGGACTCTGTGACATCACACAGGACTCTGTGACATCACACAGGACTCTGTGACATCACCACGCAGGACTCTGTGACTTCACACAGGACTCTGTGACTTCACACAGGAGACTGTGACTTCACACAGGACTCTGTGACTGCACACAGAACTCTGTGACTTCACACAGAACTCTGTGACTTCACACAGGACTCTGTGACTTCACACAGGACTCTGTGACTTCACACAGGACTCTGTGATATCACACAGGACTCTGACATCACGCAGGACTCTGTGACTTCACATAGGAGTCTGTGACATCACATAGGATTCTGTGACATCACATAGGACTCTGTGACATCACACAGGACTCTATGACTTCAAACAAGACTCTATGACTTCATATAGGACTCTGTGACTTCACACACGACTCTATGACATCACACAGGACTCCATGAATGCATCTGTCTCTCTGTGCCAATGGCACTGCTATCAAAAGTCAAAGCAGATCTGAGTAGAAAGCTTGGCCCTGACAGCAAGCTTGAAATGAAGAGATGTGCCACATACTATACCTCAAATCACCCTGTAGCAATGACTAGACCTCAAGAGTTTGCAATCATAAAAGGCAATTCAAAAATTTTTTAAAAAAGTAGCCCCTAAATAACTGATAAAATTTAAAATTAACATTACTAACTTTTCCTTTCACACATACAGGTTTAAACCACCAGGTATTGATAACCTATGGAATTCTAATTTCCTCTTTACACTTTTTAAATTACACTACATCTCCTTATTATAATTAAAGATTATGTTCTCTTTCTTGCTTAGAAGGATTATAAATACTCATGAAGCTAGCCATATCCTTCTCAAGATTCCTTCAGAAAACCAATTCTATCAACATATAAAATTGAGATGTTGATCTTGGCCACAATGTGAACAAACCAACCTCAAATAAACTAGCTGTGAGTTCTTCCAGCTCCTGCCCAAGTTGATCTCGCACTTTCGAGAGTCTCTCACATTCTTCATCTTTTAACTTCAATTCCTATGAGAAATTGATAATTTTGTTTTAGATCTCTTCAGTCTGAAATGAGATTGTATTGACTACATAATAGTTATTAGTAAAATTGTAAAATATTAACACCATTGCCTACATGTTCATATTGAGAATGCCTAGTACCTGCTAGATAGAAGACAGCCAGACAACTATAATTACAACTAATCCCAACATGTTGCATTAACTTCTTCCATAAAATATCCAGAGATTAAACATGAATAACACATAAAAACACTATTTCCCCTTTAGCTTTTCTCTGAGAATACTTATTTCTACCAAGCATGTACTTCTTTTTAATTTTGCTTATTAATACCAATAAAATTAATTCTTATGTTTATTCAGAGGAGATAGATGGCTCAGTCAGTAAAGTCCCTGCCACAAAAGCACAAAGACTCAAGTTTGAACCCAGACCCATATGAAAAAGCCAGCACAACAGTGCACATCTGTAACCCTAGAACTGAGACAGAGGTGGACAGATCCCAGAGGTCACTGGCACAGCAGTACACATCTGTAACCCCAGCACCAAGGAGACAGAGATAGACAGATCCCAGAGTTAACTAGCACAGCAGTGCACATCAAGCTGCTAGGAAACTCTTAACTGCTCACACACAGCAGAAGTAGTGAGCAAGGAACCTCTCCCAACACAGCCTCACACTAAAGGAAAACCTGTTTTCGGAAAACCATCTAAACACTGCAGACAGGTTGAGAAAAGGCTCCCATGCAAACACTGATCTCACAGTGGAATGCTAAGACACTAAGCCCCCCAGAAACACTGCCCTAGAGAAAACCTGGCTGGAAGATGTAAGTGATGACAAACATACACCAATCACAAGGAAGGGACACTGGCTATCCTGCTCCTCCGCTGGAACCTCCTAATACTCCATTAGAAACTCAAGTTATACGCACATGAGAAACAAAAATGGTATGTAAAGTTACAGTTAAACAGAAACAAGATGTTCTGGTGTGCTTTTGTACAGCAGGGTGACTACAAATAACAATGTGCTGACACCACTTCAAACCTGTAATAAAGGATTTCAAGAACTTTGTCAACAGAAAATTTTGAAGAACCACATATACTTAACATGATTTAAACATGACACAACATACATACATACTGAAATGTATTATATACATAATAGTAATATATCAATGTATATGATTTTTATGTTTTCTGTCTGTTAAAACGCATGCCTTTAATACCAGCACTCGGGAGGCAGAAGCAGGAGGATCTCTGTGAGTTCAAGGCCAGCCTGGTCTACAGAGCGAGCAAGTTCCAGGACAGCCTCCAAAGCCACAGAGAAACCCTATCTCGGAAAGCCAAAAAAAAAAAAAAAAAAAAAAAGCCAAATTACCTGTAAGGGAGTACAAAATCAGATCAGTCTGAAACTGTAGCAGCACTATTATATGCTACAAAACAAGGAAGTTTAAAATACTATTTTTTAAAGACTCCCTAGACTATAAATTGAGTGTTTTATAACCAGCTTATATCATAAGGCCACAAAGTAATACATCTGTAAGATCTCAGGAAATGTCTGCCCTATGAGCCTGCTTGAAAAGGAAATTGTAGAACTTCCACTGGGCACTTGCCAACAAAAGACTGTGATCGTCCAGAGGTAGGAAACACAGTGAGCCCTGGGTTGTGTGAGCAGATGAAATATTAGGACGTAAGGGCCACCATGTTACATAACAAAAGCCAACTATTTATTAACAAGGTTCAAACTTCAGACATGAAAACTACAAAGTCTAAAATGTGTAAGATATCACAGAAGGAGCAGCACTGGAAACTAAGAGAAACTATCCACAATGAAACACAAAAGGAGGGAAAAGACTAAAAAAGAAAGAGGAATAGAGCCCACACTCCAATGTACAAACAAGTTGAAGAAAGGAGATGTAAGAAAGGAAAGATTTTTGAAACAGAAGCCAAAATGTTCAAAATCTTATGAAAACCAAAAACCTACAGATTCAAGAGCATATCACACTTTTAAGTGTGCACATGCAACGTACACACATGCACACATACACACAGACACCACACAGCCCTGATGAAAACTACACTACATAGGAAGTCGTAATAGATGTGCTTACTGAAGACACCACAGCAAGAAAGCAAAGACATCACATACAAAGCAGCTTCCTGTGAGAACCAATGTGTGCTTTTAACAATGAAGCAAAACCTTATACTACTAAGAGAAAGAATGCATGTATCAGCCTCCAAGTCTGTGCCCAATGAAATGAAAAAACTAAAGTAAAAGGGACCTCACATCACATGCGAACAGGAAACATGTTAAAGGTGGCCTTTCAACAGAAAGAAGATGCCAGTTGGAAATCTAGATAGACATAAAACAAAAGAGCAATACTGGAAACAGCCATGTATAGAAAACTGAAGATTCTTACATATTATTTACATCCCTTTAAAATAATCAAATGTTTAACGCAAAATAAAAGTATGTGGATGGAGTATATGATAATCACTGCACAGAGCTGGAAGCAAAATGAAAATATAGTTCCTAAGATTCTTACACTGCACACAGGTAGTGTGCCACTGCAAGGCAGACAGTGAGAAGTTAAAGGAGTGTACTATAAGACACAAACTAAGTTAAAAGAACAAAATTTAGCCAGTAACTCAAAGAAAGTCAATTATCAAAAATAATGAATTAATACAAAAGCAGGAATAAGATAGAAGATAAAATGGAATAAAAGAATACAAATAGTAAGACAACAGATTTAGCCAAATTTATCAATATTGCGTTAAGTATAAATGGCCTAAATACACCAGCTAAAGGGCACATATTAGTACTAGGATAAAAAGCAAAACTTACTTTAAATAGGAAGGTACAAATAAATTAAATGGATAAAAACAAGGCAGGTAAGAATCATCAGAATACAGAATGGCCAATGATGTAATTTTGATTCATTAGTTACCAGAATTCAGAAAATATTTTCATATTCAAGTGCTCCTCAAGATTTGAGTCCTAAGTTAATATTAAAACTATATTACATTCACCCTAATACAATTCAGTATGGACATGGTCACACGTAATGTTTCAGTTATTGTACTACAGCTCTAAATGCTACAAACTGAAGATTTCAAAAGAGATTCCCAATGGAGCTAGGAGATAATCATGCATGCACACACAAAATATAAGTAAATGGGGGGGGGGGGAGAAAGCCATGGTAGATAGACGGTGGAATACATGCCTGGACAATGTCATGGCATGAAAGAAATAGTGTTTGACAATTTTTTTTTCTATTTTTAAAATACAAATTGGTATTTGACCATAGCTGTCAAATTTATATACATAGATTTTTTTTATCATCCCTAAACTGTACTTTCGCTGTCTATGTGATCAGGAGTCATAACTCTTTCACTCTGAATGTTGATAATCTATATTGATTTTTAAAATATTCTTTTGCCAGAGATTTGTCAATTTTATTGCTGTTTTAAAGAATCCATATTTTGTTTTATTTATTTCCTATTTCTCTTGTTAATTGCATTGACTTCTGCTCCCATTGCCAATCTTCTGCTCACCATGCTTTGACTTTACTATTGCTTTTAGGTTGATAAAGTAAGATTGTTCATTTACAATTTCTCCTGGGCTAGAGAGAACACTGAACAGTTAAGAATGTTTGCTGCACAGTCATGAAGACCAGAGTTCAGATCCCAGCACCCATGAGACAAGTCTAGCACCCTGCTATACAGTTCTCTCTGCAATTGTATTTCAGTCTGAGGGATGGGGTAGGATAAGAGCTGGCCATAAATTTGAAGACAAATAGAAATCTATGAAGGAAAGAAAATTCCCCAATGTAAAATATAGACAATATTCACAATCAGCAGAAGAAAGGTGATGTCACTTAAAAATTCCTCCAAGTAAAAAGAACTATATTGGAGGGCTTCAGTGAGTGACTACCAAGTCAGCCTCATAATGAGACAGTTCATGTGAGATACAATCCATAAGAATGTGTTAGAGATAAAGCAAGACAAACAGCAGTTGGTACAGAGTTTCAAAATCTCATTTCTCCAGTTCCTATTCCTAGGCAGAGCTTCCTGTCACTCAGGCAACTCTGCACACTCACGGATGATGTCCAATGAGGCTAAGTGTAAGTGAAGGGGAAGTGCAACACTGTAAGAATGTGTTTATGAGCTGCCATCCCAAGTAGTCTTTCTAAGAGAAAGCACGGAAGGACAACATGGTTTTCTTACCCTCTGAGCTTTTGCAAGTTCTTCTTTCAACCTTTCGTAGCCCTTTTCTCTAACTTCCAGAACAGATGGGCTCCGTAAACGTGACAGGCTATCCGTACTCAACCCAAAGATGTCATCACTGCCAGCAGGAGCCTCTGTAACGGTAGCACCCTGCAAAAACTCCCTCTCTGCATTGCCGATGTCCTTCCTTGATGTTAGCTTCGTGAGTCCCACTGCCACTCCAGAGGTAACAGCTGATGCTGGGTCCGGAACATGAATGCTGCAAGGAGAGAAAGCTCAGAAGGTATGCCACAAACGTTCCAATGAACTAGCCAACCTACATTGAACTAAGGGCAGGTCCTCATGCCAGCTACACTTCAACAACAGCCCATGTGGCTAAGGGCTATCACTCATAGTGCACACCACAGAAATACTTTCATCATCCCAGAAAGGGCTACTGAGTGCTGTTCCCCAGGACAGGGGTCACGGAATGCAGCTGAAGGCTGAAGGCTAAATCAAGTCTTCACTGTTGTCCTAAGGTCCAAAGCCAGAAATGGATAACAAGGAATCAGTGACACGGTACGACCTGTAAAAATTTATGAAATTTCTGTGGCCACAAGTTTTTATTGCAACATTCAGACTTATTCATACTACCTGTGGCTGCTTTCACGCTGTAAAAACAAATCTGAAGAGATGGTACAAAACCTGTATGGCCTGGGGCTGGAGAGATGGCTCAGTGGTTAAGAGCACGTGCCGTTCTTTCAGAGGACACAGATTTGAATCTCAGCAATGACATGATGGCTAACAGCCATCTGTAACTCAGTTCCAGAGGCTCTGACGCCCTCTTCTTGCCTCCACAGGTACTACACATGAGGTACACTGATACACATGCAAGCAAAACATCCACATACAAAAAATAAAAATAAAATCTTTAAAAAAAAAAAAACTGTATGGCCTGCTAAACCTAAAATATTTTTTGGTCTGGTCACCTGCCTAAATTTGCCAATTCTAGAGATTAAAATGTATCACTCTACATGGGCATAATTATATTACTCAAATTTTCTATTTTCTATTTCTATATTAAAAGGATAATTTAAGACAGCCAAGAAAATTTTTAAAAATAACAATAATCCAAAATAAGTGTGCTGGTGATTCTCACAGCTGACATTGGGATCTGTGTGCTGGTGATCTCAAAGCTGACACTGGGATCTGTGTGCTGGTGATCTCACACCTGACACTGGGATCTGTGTGCTGGTGATCTCACACCTGACACTGGGATCTGTGTGCTGGTGATCTCACACCTGACACTGGGATCTGTGTGCTGGTGATCTCACACCTGACACTGGGATCTGTGTGCTGGTAATCTCACACCTGACATTGGGTATCTGTATGCTGGTGATCTCATACCTGATGTTAGGTATCTCCGCACAGTTTAAACGCCTAGGGGATGAGTACACAGGTTGTGTGGGAAGATCAGAAAGATCTAAGGCATTAGCCTGGAGAGGAGTAGAGCACAAAGATGAAGGATGTGGCCGGTAGATAACACTTGGGGAGGTCGTCTGCTCTTGGGTTCCTGGGTCACACACACCAAGAAGGTCCGGAGAAGTAGGTGAAGCAAGGTTCACTTCATGGAAGCCTTCCAAGGGGTCATTAGCCATAGCAAAGGCTTCATCCTAAAACAGTCTAAGCTAAAGCCAAAAGAATAAGATTATTTTTAGGGATTAGTTCAAAACTAAATCAAAATGCATAAGCTGTAAAATAATCCATATAAAGTATAACCTTACAATAAAATACTGTTTAAAATGAAAAATAAAAAGCCTTCCTAACATTTGCAAAGTGATCTCATAGTAGAAATACTACATAGAAGGTAACCTGATTTGGAAAAGATATGAAAATATAGAAATATTGTCACAGCAGGTACAATTAAAAAATATAAGGAATGAAGAAAAGCTTTCTTAATTTCTTAACTTTGCTATCATCTATAACTTGGCTAGAAAAACTAAAAAAGACAGCAAGGATAAACATATTTAGAACAAGCTAGCCTTAAGTTCAACTATTCTACCCCACCTTGTACTGGATGTGACTTCGGATATACCAGAGGTTTTTCTTTTGAAATCACTTTAAATTTACATAAGGACTTCAGAGCTCCCGTGTAACAGTCCCCATTATCAGGATGCTAGTAACATTTTTGAGCTGTATGAGAATGCTTCAAACCATTAATATGCACATATACACATGGGCATACCCGCTATATTCCAAGAGCAAGGGTATTCTCCTAGCTGACCATAAAATCATCATCAAAATCTAGTAAATGATTAAAACTACCACCAAATACACAAGCCCCGATCAAAATTCACTAACTGTTCCAACTCTGGACTTTATGGGTCAGGTCCAGGATCCAGTTCTGAGTTATATGCTTCATTTTCCTAAACCCAGATGGTGGGCTAGTAATGGGCCTAACTACCACCACCATCCCCAACACCTCGCCACCCCCATCTCCTGGCTGCCATGAGCACTGAAGACAACCCCTAAAATCACTCAGGAATACTGTGCTCCTGATAAACATTTAATTCATGGCCATTATTAACAAGGACACTTCAGTTTCCACATTAGCAAAAAAAATACTTTATATAGTATTTTATAAATGTTTTGCAAAAAAATAAGACCTGTCTCCCTCAAGTTGCTCTCCTAATTGTAAAACTAAGAATCTTGTAAACCATTGATTTTTGTTGTTGTTGTTGTTGTTAAATCTTACAGGGGACAGTCCAGAAAGTCAGAGCCTATAAAGCCCTGAACTGGCTCCTTTCCAATGTGGACCTTCCTGCAGCAGCACTGGGAAGATTGTGAGTGAGCAATCCTTCCCGGCATAAAGCAACTGGACATGTCACTTCTTCCACGGATACAGAAATACTCATTCAATTGCTAAACTGAAAACCTTAATTCTCTCACATCCCCAATAAAAAAGTCTTAAAAATTATCTGGCAGAGAATAAAAAGGCTACAGAAGTAGATACAATATTAACAGTCTCTCAAAATTACAGATTACTACGAGACCATGAATGAACAACCAAAATTTTATCAAATAAATCTATAGATGCCCAATTTCAAAGTAAGTAAATTTACTAATAACAAATTTATTAACAGCAAATGGTACTTTCAGTCCTCAAAGTTCAACTAATTTAATGTAAAATACTTGATGTAAAATACTGTGCCAAATGCAAGCTCAGACAGTACTTTCTAAATTTTTTTAATCTAAAAAGAACCATTTTCAGTTTTTTACATAATTCACACACAAATATGCAACCAGGAAAAGTTTATGCTAACAGTATATATTCCATCTTTATACAGTTTACTGATTAATTCATGTTAAAGAAAATAAACAACTTTGAAATGTGTTTAAGCTGACTTTCGAAACAATCTGTCTCATGTGTACAGAATCATGCTCATTCTCCTCATCTCCTTCTCTTACCCCTCTCCCGCTCTTGTTGATGCTTCTTTTCCCAGCTAGCGCCCCTCCCATCCCCTGGTCCTATATTATCTGTGCAGGTCTTATGCAGGTAGCCACAGCTGCTGCGCCCAGCACTGCAACAGCCATGCCACATCCACAGAACAGCACCTGGTGCCCCTCCATCCTCTGGTTCTTATACTCTTCCTACCCCTCTTGGGGATGTTCCCTAGGCCAGGCAGGTGCAGGTGTATCACTTAGGGCTAAGCACTCGACAGTCACTTATCCTGAGCACCCTGGCCACTTAGTATTCTCTATATTAACTATTGCCCTCTGCAAAAAGAAGTTTCTCTGACCCACACTGGTAGTAGCACAAGCAATAACACACATATTTAGAAGGCAGTTAGGCTTCATGTCCACTTAGTAAAACATCAGGAGTACATTCTGTGCTAGGGCCTGTGATGTCTCCAGCCATAGGTTTATGACCAGGTTTACAGTATCAATCATGGAACTGTTCTCAAATCCAATTAAAAAGCAACTGGCTAATCCCACAATGTTCTTGCCACTACTGTACAAATGGACATGTCTTGCTTTGCAGGTCAGGGCTGTAGCATGCAGGATCCACAGCTGGCTTAGAGACTTCACAGCACTATGAACACTTGGCAGCAGAAGGAAACTTGCAGCTCAGTGCCAGCCTGCTTCCTCTGTCTTACATCCAGTACGTGGTGTCTCCTTCAGCAAAGGGTGCTTACCATCTAGGTCTGGGGTTAGCCAACAGCAATGGCAGGAGCCTGTATTTACACTGACATTTTATCAGTAACTATGACCCTTCCTTCTATCCCACATGTATCAAATCCAAAGTGTATACCTTAAAGGATCACTGAATTACAGAGTACAACAGCATTTTAATTTCTAGATATGCAAAATGAGACAAATCTTCTGGAAGAAAATGAGGCAATACCTAGCAAAGTGACAGGTTCATGCAGCATATGGCCCAGCATGCTCTTGGTGAAGGATTCAGCCCAAGGATAAACAGGCAAACTAGAAAAACAAAGAAGATAAACATTATCATTTGTAACAGCAAAAGACTATATAAGTTGCAGTATAGCCTCATAATCAAGTATTACTTGCGCACAAAAAAAAGATGAATAGTATCTGCACACACTGCTGTGAGTGACCTTGAGGATATGCTGGTAAATTTAATAGCAGGGAAAATAGCTGTGTACAGCAAGCTACTTCTTGAAACTTTTACCCCAGCACCCACGTGGAGGATAGGTGGGTACCCCAGCACCCATGTGGAGGACAGGTGGGTACCCCAGAACACATGTGGAGTGTGGAGGATGGGTGTGTACCCCAGCACAAATGTGATTCTCCATTTATAAAAAGTGTTAAGAGAACTACACTTTAGAAATAAACAAAGGTTATATGGCATTGGAGTAGTGCCAAAACAGGAAAGCTAAGGATCTCAGTTTTTAACCATTTAGTTGTTATTATTACTGTGAATGAGTGTGTGTAGGCATGAGAATGCCCATGTGGAGGATCAGAGGTCAACCTGCAAGTTTGAGACCAATCCACTCTACATAAGGTTCAGGCTGACCAAGCTATGTAGTAAGACCCTGCCTCAAAACACCAAAAAGGATTATAAGTGCTTTTTCTTCCTTTCAATTTATTCTTTACAGACTACTGAACAGTGCGCTAAGGGCTGGGAGAACAGGCCATATGTGCCCCCACCTTTTTTTTCTTTTCTCATTTTACACAGGGTCTCAGTAGGTAGCACTGGCTGACTTAGAACTTTCTATGAGGACCAGGATGGCCTCAAACTCAAGAAGCCTCTGCTTCTTGGACGTCGGAATTAAATGAGTGTGCCACCACACCTGGCCAGATTTTTTTTTTTTTTTAATTCTCAGATGACTTTCAAATTTAGCATGAATGCCTAAAGAATGGCCCCAAATTAAATATTAGATTGATCCTTCCATGTATAACATGAACTGAAGCGTTACAAACTCCACCTATTACTTCACTTCACTAAACACCTCAGTCAACTTCCAGGATATACAACAGAAGAACGGTCACCAGCTTCTGCTCGTCGGGGCACCAGGTGCCGCCAATGTCTAAAAACACAGTGTAAGACAGACTGGATCGATGACATGTGGTCCATCAGAGCCAAGGATGACCCTGCAGGCCCAAGGAATGAAGGGAGAGGGTGCCCTAAGGAGAGTAAATTATAACTTACATCGTAAATGCTAAGGAGACATCCACTGGATTGACAAAGCAGAGAAATAAGATAGGATGCTCAGGGAATAAGGGTCAGACGCTAAGGAAACTAGCAATGGAAAGAGTGACAGAAAATCAAGCCGGGAAGGCAGCTGAGGGACAGACCATTAAATGCTTCATTTAACATGAAAATGTTGCTTGGCTTTTATCCTGAAGAGTCAGACCTTCATCTTGAGAAGCGTAGCCAAACTATAATGCAGTCATTAGAAAAAAGGACTCCAAGGCAGTAATGGCTTTAACTAGAGGCAACTGGTTGAGTGGTTACCACAAAGGGCTACATAAATTATAAAGGTCAGACCAACGCCGAGGTTATATCCCAGGAATACCCAGAGCACGAATTAGCTTTATTTTTATCTTCATATACACAACCTGGCTGAGCATCACGGCATCCTTTAAAATGGTCCCCATCCTTACAGAAACAGACTCAACAGCAATCAGCTGAGTTCAGTCGACAAGTAAGACAATGAAAGCCTCCTGTGTCTGATGCCAACACCTGACCCCACTTCATTAAAGACACGGTTACAAGACAAAACTGACCTGAAGACAGGAGCAGCAGGCAGATCCAGAAAGACAAAGGATTTATTTTTGTTTGTTTTGTTTTGTAGAATTCATTCATTTGAAATTTTATTTAGGATCTGGGATGATGGTGCAGTAGGTAAAGTGAATGCTGCCAGACTTAATGACCTGAGTTTGGATTTCAACCACCCAAGTGCCAGGAGAGTGATTGCATTTCTATAACACTAGCACCTGAAAGCACAAAGACCCCGAATGCTCACCGAACAGTCAGTGAAGCTCAATCGCTAACCTCCAGGTTAAGTAAAATAAGACAAAGGATTTCTAAGGCCAGTCTCATCACATCAACCCTGAGAGGTGGGAACATCCACACAGAAAAATGTTAACATCTCAATTCCTCTTACTCTCTTTCCTCAAACAGCCACTGAAACCAACACTGGGTGCCACTTTTTATGTCCTTTCTATTCTCATCAGTTACTACTTTGTTGAGATTTTTTAAAAAACTTCTTAAAGCCTTTTAGAGAGCTCTGTATGTGACTGTGTGTATACATGTATGTCTGTTACAGTGTGTGTGTATGTGTGTGTGTGTGTGTGAGAGAGAGAGAGAGAGAGAGAGAGAGAGAGAGAGAGAGAGAGAGAAGTGAGAGAGAGAGAGAGGAGAGAGAGTACATCCCTGTGCATGTGAGGACCACATGTTGTAACTCAGGCACCATTCACCCTGCTTTGAAGAAATGTCTCTCACTGACCTAGAGCTCATGGATTGTGCCAGGCTAGCTGGCCACTGAGCTCTGGAGATCTGCCTATTTCAGCCTTCCCGACATTGGGATCCAAGTGCAGAGCAAACATGTGGTGATTTGAATGAGGACTGTCCTCCCACAGGCTCCCATATAGAACACTTGGTTCTCAGTTGATTGGTGATGTGGTGCTTCATTGGGAGTAAGCTTTGGAGCATATAGCCTAACTCTACTTCCTGCATGCTCTCTCTGCTTCAAGCCTGCTATTAAAGATAGGATCTCTCAGCTTCCTGCTCTGGCTGCCTGCTGCCATGCTGTCCTGACAATATGGACTCCTGCTGGAACTATAATCCACACTAAACTCTACTATAAGCTGTTTTGGTCATGCTGTTTTACCACAGCAAGGGAACAGTAACTTTTTTCATGGGTTCTGGAGATCAAACTCAAGCAAGCACTTTACTGACTGAGCCTTCTCCTCAACTCTCCTTACAGGACTTTGAAAAGGACAACATGTAAATTAAAATAAACAGTAGCTTGATTTTACTTAAGTCAATATAATCTGGTGTCTTATTCAGCCAATAAAAATAAGTGAAATCTATCATTTGTGGGAACATCAGTGAAAGGGGTTAGGCATAGAAAAATAAAGACTTCCATTTTCACAGTTAGTGTAGAAATTTAAAACCCTGGTCTTTGTATACTACATGCAACAAATCTTGCATGAGCTTCAAGCATTCTGCTAACTTCTACCTTCTAAGCCATCTTGGTCTGTGGCTGTAGCTAACAAACCATGCTGCATTCAGATGTCAGTCTATGTAACCACCTCTTCCAGCTGTAAGAGAGACAGCATAATCCAAGCTGTCAAAAGCACCCCTCTTCCTTTCACGGTCCCCTCTGCTCTCACTCCGAACACTTCAGTTTCTACTGTCAGCACAACTGCAATGGCTTATCCAGTGCAATCCCTCCTGAGTATCAAGCCCAAGAAGGCTAAAGCTCTAAATTGGGCTAAGATAAAGGAAAGCCAGCTGTCCAAGAGCTCCAAGAACCACCTCCTCAAGCATGCGTCCAGTTCACAAGAGGGCAGATGCAGTGCAAACATCAAAATTAATAAATCACAAAACAGAACTACAGTGAGTACAGCGGAAGTACTTTTTCCACATTATCTAAGTCAAGGAGGGTTACAGTAGAAGTACATATCCAACACAGAAGTATTGAGGGAGCAGGGGGAGTTGAGGACAGCATTACAATAGAGGAGAAACCAGTTAAAAGAGTTTTTCCCAAACCTTGACATCTAACTTTCAGGGAATCACATAGATACAGTAGCAAAATTGGTCATCCTGCATTTTTAAAAGAATTATATACAGGCCAAAAGTTTAAAGATGTATCTTTCTGAACAATATCCTTCTAACTTTCTGTCATTACCTTAACACACACACCTACCTGCAAGTCATTCCTGCTTCCACCTCAGCACCCAACTACTGTAACTTTCTGTTTCAATACTCAACAAAATGTATACATGTATTTTCACATGCATATTATGTATACATATCCTTTAAATTGTTTTTGTTGGGAATTTTTGCTTTTTTTGCATCCTGGGGACTGAACTCAGTCTCACACAGGCTAAGCAAGCCCCTCTACCACTGAGCTACACCCTAGCTTCCTCTAAGTTTTGAGGAACATATAATATATAGGAACATCACAGGCTCCTCCTACCTTAGACCCTATAGCTTCCTTTAACCCCCACTGACTTGCAAAGTAGGATACCCAATTAATATTTCACTTAAAAACCTCTGGTGACATAAGAATTACATATTACACTCATATAACTATCTCATAAACGCTAAATTAAAAACAATTTATCAGCATTACAACCTACACATGAAATGGAAGAGCAGTAATTAAGAACAGGCAATCCTTCAGACATGAACTGGTGGGACGGAGTGACTAAGAACAAGCACAACTTACACAAGAAGTAGTAATGGTCCCAGCCCTGCTACTGAAGCTGCCCAACTTCTAATCTACCTGTCACTTAACTAGCCATATGATCCCGGTTAAGCTTCACAACCACTCTCGTCTCAATTTCCTCAATTGAAAAAGCAAGGGGGTATAAATGACCTGGTTGGTAAGAGAAAATGACCTGGAGTCAGCTTGGATCAGGACTTGGCACTCGAGAACCAGGAACTTAGCAACAGTGGCAATAGAGATGTCACCGTCATCAGAACACTTGGGTCGTTTTTTAATCAGACATACAAATAATACCACCTCTCACCTGCATGGCCCCAGCCACCCTGGCTAAATGCAAAGCTCTTTTTTCAACAAGACCAGTAACATAAGGAGCATCAGAGTTTAAAGCTCCGCTTGAGATCCCCACTTTTTTTTTTTTTTTAATCCTGGCTTTGGTATCAGCCAGTTATAAATGAGAACTAAGTACCACAGGCAAGTCATTTTGACTCTCTGCCCTTCGGTTTCCAGATCTGTAAAATCTGATAAAGCACCTATAACCTAAGATTGTCCTTAGAACTAAGGAGCCAAGGGTAGCCTCAAACAACAGGCACCGAGCCCAGTCTTCG